AAACTAAGAATTTTTTTAATAAAAATTAATTAAGTAAAATGACAAAACGAAAACTGAAAATAGATGAAGCAGAAAAGCCAAAGCTCGTGCTACGCACGATTTCTTTAAAACGTATTCGTTGCCTCCCGGGGTGCTAGGAGCGTTGCAACGATAGTTTCCCAGGATACGATGACTTCAAACGATAATAATAATAATAATAATAATAATAATAATAATAATAATAATAATAATAATAATAATGGTCATTACATTGAGCTTAAACAACCCATCAACTGCATACCCCTTGCCCACATACATTCTCGATTTAGACAAAACTAGTTTGTCCGACTCAAAGACCATGCGGAAGCCATGCTTGTTCAACAACGAGCCCGAGATTAGGTTTTTGCGTATTTCCGGGACGAAAAACACTTGATGGATAGTCTACCCGGGGGGTATCTTATCCGAGGGGTTATTGCGGGAATAACTTAGAGAGAAGCCAGGGCAAATAGGAGGAGAGAGAGTCGATTTTATTAAATGAACTCAGCGTGTGTAGATGAAGTGCAGATCATGATTTACAAGGATGAAATGTGCTGCAATTTATAGCAGCAATAAATGCGATGAGAGGACACGTGTCAGTAATCCAACGGCCGAAGGGTCACATCAACCGGTTGGCACCGGCAGTGGTACGTTTACCGCATTGAATGCGGTTGGCGGATGCGACGTGGCATTAAATGCGGTGGTTGGCTGTCTCTAAAAGGAATCTTTGATGATTGAGCTAGTTCAGCCGAAGGCTCCTTGCGTAGCCGAGGGCTCCTTGTGTAGCCGAGGGCTTCTCTGATGCCGAGGGCTCAATGATGCCGAAGGCTTATGTTTTTCGCCGTTTTCTCCCAGTAGCCTCTTATGCCAGAAAAGGCTACCTTGTGAGGTTTGGAGCTTTCGGCAAAGGAGGCCGAAGGCATCCCAGTGCGTATTCTGGGCTACGTTGAGGCTTGGGCCGCCGCATTTCGGGCCTGAGTTGTTCCCTGGGCCCAACGAACTTGTGTAGGAGAAGTAGGAGCCTATGGGCCGGGGGTTCCTGGGCCATATACTCCATCAACACTTGGTTGAGACTCAGCTCCTTGCCCGAAGTCATCTTCAGGACCACCTTGCCCACGCCTTCAACCTCAGAATGAGCAGAATTCCCCATCCGCACCTTCTCGCCGTTTGATGGCTCAAAGGTTGTGAATAGCTCTCGGTTAGAGCAAATATGCCGGGTTGCACCGGTGTGCCACGAATCACTCCTTGGAATTGGATCCATTGAGATTGACCTCGGTCACCACGGCCGCAAGAATGATGTCTTCATCCTTTTGCCCACCTTGCACCATGTTGACTTGAGAGTCTTTCTTCTTCCTTGGTGCCTTGCAATCCGAGGACTTGTGAGATAAAATAACATTTTTTGCTGCCACCTCTTGAAGTTTAACCCATGAAATTTTTTGGGTTTCTCCACCGAGTTGCTTGGCACGGTCACCATAGGGATAGCCCTTTGGTTGGCCAAAGCAGATACTACGCGTTGTGAACTATTGATCACCGGATCTGCGCTTCCAGAGTGATTATCGTTCAAAGCATTCTGCCCAACAACATTTTTGTTTTCTTGAGAAGTCATTTTCCGTTTTTTTCCTTACGTTTTTCGAAAACACAAAAAAACCAAGTTCGTTCACCAATGTGACAAACTACAAGTTTAAGATTGTTTACCGTAGTAGAACTATCACCGAATACGTTTTAAGATTGTTGGGTGTGTTTCGAAAAACTAAGAAAATTAATTAATAAAAATTAATTAAGTAAAATGACAAAACGAAAACAGAAAATAGATGAAGCAGAAAAGCCAAAGCTCGTGCTACGCACAATTTCTTTAAAACGTATTCTTTGCCTCCCGGGGTGCTAGGAGTGTTGTAACGATCGTTTTCCAGGATACGATGACTTCGAACGATAGTTAAGCTTAGAACACATAAGGATTTTTCTCAGAGAAGGCTGGAGTGTTTTTTTAGTTAGAATGAAGTGCAGTACGTTTTTGTGTTGGGTTCCTTCTGCAAAGCAGCTACCAGCCTTTTATAGGGGTGAATTTGCATGTGTTAATGGCCTGTTTAAGGCATATGAACATTGGAATCAATGTTGTGAACGTTGGGCATTGATTCCTGCAAAAAACAGTCCAAAACATTCATATGAACGTTGGGACTTCAAGGCAGCATGCTGGGATTGATTCTCCATGCAAGTTATCCAAACCCGCTGCATTTAGGTACAAAGACGTTGGGCATTTATGCTGCAACGTTCCGGTTCAACATGAGCAAAAATAAAATAGGAACCTACCGGAAGAACAAAAATTAACGTTATCTTTAGAAGATAATTTTTCAGACGGCATTCGTGTCCGCAGCTCGCCCGCGCACGCAAGTTGCGCTTTTTGTTCTCCGGTTTCGGGATTTGATTCGCACCCTCCCTGCGCGTGTGGAGAGAGCCTTTACCCTAAGGAATCGTAACTCCTTAAGGGGGGTTTCCCTTTATAAAGGGTTCAAATTCCCTCAAGTTTCCCGGTGTGGGAAAAAACGACACTAGAAACCCATCATTTTCCCAGTTTTCTCCATTCCAACGAGTGAATTTCGAGAATCAATTTCTCATTCACCCGTTATCCGTTTTGAGCGTACCATATATCGAATTGTATTCCTAATCAAGAACAATCCGAAACCACTTTGACCCGACCCAAATCGGAAGTGGACCACACTGAAAAAATTGCCCCAAAATGACTATTTGATGCAATTTTAACACATTTTTTCCAATAAGGCGTGCAAAGTAATTTACCACCCCACCCTCCACGTAAAGTATTTTACATGGTACGATGCAAAATGTTTTAAAAAAGTTCCCCGCAATTTATATTAAATATTCAAACCAAACAGTGTAAACATTTTACGTCTTTACACTTCGCATGCAAAGTATTTATTTTACGTCCTACCAAACGCCCCCTAAAAGGGATCTGTTTTTTCGATCAATAAACTGCCTCACACTGTCAAAACATATTGTTTACGTAAATTAGCTCTTGTAGTTGAAATTAAACTCCATCTATTCTAATTAAACTAGTTTGTATGGAAACTATCACCTTTGGTTTCTCCCCACAGCTAGTCTTGTGTGTGTGAATTTAAACTTTTTATACTGAGGGTTGTTAACATAACGTGTTACAAGTATTTCAAAGATGAAAAATAAATCTCAAAGATGCAAACAGCTGAATTGTTTTTAAAGATGTAATAGTAAAAACATAATTAAGAAATTGAAATTCAAAACATTTCGATCACTGGCCGTGCATATCCAAACTTTTAGATCGAAATAGTAATTTAAGTTTAACATTCCAAAAGCTAACACAAAGTAAATAAAGATTATTCACATATGTAAACAAAGTGAGTTATACGTTTTTTTTAAAAATAGAATTAATGTTTTCTTATTTTCCTATTTATCCCTAATATGATTATATGAGATTAAATAACAAATACAGAATATATTGAAAAATAGTATACTAAAAACCTAAAATGATAATACATGTAGGTGACGACATCTTATATACCAATTGATTTAAAAAAGATGGGACCGAAAACCCACTTATTTTGATGAGATAGAGTAAAAATTTTCATATTATTACTACTAAAAAACTAGAAAAATCACCAAGTGCAAGCACATGAGAAATCATTAGGACAAAATTCCTCCCAAATATTCAAAGAGGCCAAATTTTGACATCCGGGATAATGTACCCCCCACTCACCCACCCACATCGTGCATAGTATAATTGGACAAAATTAGATACTCCCGTTACTAGGTACTCCGTATAATGGTTGGGTTTGGATTAAAAGATCAATTAATGGGCAATTTAGTAAACTTGCCCACCATTAGTAAATTAATGGGCAACTCTATCCGTTAATAAATCTAATTTCCTAGCGATGGTCTTAGATTCACTAGATTTAAGCGGCGGAAAGTGGATGATTATCTTTTTAAGGTGAAACTGATTCCGGATAAACTTAAATAGAGGGAGCTCGATTAAAGATTATTAAGAGTCTGTTTGACAACACTGTTTTTCGGCTTATCAGCCAACTTTTTCGCCAAACATGTAACATTTTTGTACTGAATTGTGCAATAAGCAGAAAAAGTAAGGTTGCAGTTACTTTTGTTGCTGTATTGGCTGAAGTTACTGTATATGACCATTTTAGCTATTTTTACATATAATTATTTCTTTCTTTATTAATAAAATATATTTAAAAAATAAATTTTTCTTAAATCAGCAGAATCAGCCAATGCAGCCATTTCAGCCAGAACTTCATAAATTTCAGCAGAATCAGCCAAATCAACCGGTTTTCGCGTACATGTTTTATTTACTTTTCGTTTCTATCTTTTATTTTATTTTATTAAATTTCGGTAAATGTTTCCTGACATTCACCCCACCGACTTAGGTAGTTTGTCTACCAGGTTAAGGAATATGTAGTAAATAAATAAGAAATAAATCTAATTTCCTATTAGTTTATATGTATTCACTCAGTCAAATCAGTCTTTTCTTACTATCCAGCACTGTCAATATTTTATTATGATTTAATGAGTCAAACATCTTGATGTAAAAAAGTAAATTTGGAACTTTTTTTGTTAGTTCAAGCTAATTTCTCAAAAACATAAATAAAATATAAAAAATATTGGAATAACCGTGAGATATAATTTGAACGTTTGATTTATTCAGGAAAAAGTTTGGACCTAAAAACATTTCAAATAACAATTCAAACTTCACATTTTTTTTTTAAATTTTATATATACAATATTGATTTCATATGAAAGATAAGTTTTTTTTTATGAATTTTGATATATATATATATATATTTTAAAATTAGAATAAAAATAAAGAATATATAACATTTAGATTAATTTTTTTTATATTTCCCTTTGGTCCCACATCCCTGCCACCTGCGCACCACTTTTTCTCCCTCGTTTCTCCACAGGCACCTCTTTTGTACTCGGTACTATCTCTTGTCCTCACTTCATTCATTCCTCAATCAACCGGAATGCGAAAAATGGAGCGCCGTTAATTTTTCATTTTGGCCGGCGGTATTAGAGGCAGCTCATTACTCCGTCCGGTTTCGTCTGAATCTCTGTAGGTTTTTTGTTGGTACGCACTACTTCGATTCTCCATTTCTCTGTTTTTTTGCTTTATCATTCTCCTTGAAGTAGATGTTCGATGTTCATGGAGTAGATCGTTAAGGTCACCTCCGACCTCCGGCACTTTGTTCTGGATAATTATGGTTTTAGTTTTTGTTGTTTGTATCTTTCACCGGAAAGAAAAAGTCCTATGTTGGTGGAGATGATTCTCTCTTAGTGGATGGCTGGGCCGGCCGATATCAGGTCCGGTAGTTTCATTTGCATTCATGATCTTTGTATTATATTCTTCTTCGAAATTCCATTTTAGTTTTTTCTGTGAATTTTTTGTTGCTTCTGCTCCGGCCCTGCCTGAAATGCATATTTTCAGATCGACATTTAATTTCTATTTTTGCCTAAACCCTAACTGCAGCCTGTCACTTTCTGATTTGAGCATCAAGTTTGTTTCTATGGCATGCATCAGAACATGTACAGAAATGCCACATATACGTATCAATGATTCAACCGGTCAATCCTATACTAGCTTTAGTTTAGCTTGATTTTGTGTTTATTTTAATAATTGACTGTATCTTCACTCCAGGTTCTCGATCAAGAGGGCGGCTTCATCAAAATCTATACCGTAAGAACGAATATTTTTCTTCATAAAGTCATTCTTCTACCTTAGCTTCGTGGATAAATCTAACTCCTTACTTAGTTGTGCTTAAATTCGATCTTTTGCCCCTTCTTTCCATCTCTGTATTTATTTCTCTCCCTCTATCTAGTGTCTACATACTATACGGTCTATACCACCCATATACTCCTTACGACATTTTACATGAAAACATTTCTCTTCTTTCAGAATAGTGTGCTTGTAAAATACTATCGTATTAAATTATCAAATGCTTTCCGCATTTATGTGGTTTACAAAATACGAAGTACGTAGTATTTTGTAATTTTTTAGACACTGTCTTTGATTAACTAATACCCCATATGTATACAAGGCTCCATATGTGTACAATTTTTGCTATTGCATTTATAAAAACGAAATTGGCCCGCGTTTTATTTATTTGTTCGTTTTCATTTATTTTGTTTTTCTTCTCTTTGCTACGGAGTATTTATTGTGTCCAACTTTTTGCTATTGCATGTATAAAAACGGAATAGTTCCCTCACACTCTTTTCGAGGACTGTCCTTTTTATTTAGGCTGCAAATTCTATTTGGTTCTATTTGGTCAAGTAATACACAATATATAGAGAACAATTTTGTTCACCCCCTCAAATGAGGGTGAACATCACCCCCACCCTATTAGGCTGCCACATGGCATGGCAATTCTTTTAAATTTGGCAATTGTTATAACTTTTTCATTTTTAGTTCAATTTTTTCAAAAAATCTATCAATATTTTTAATTTTTTATGATCTTTCATATGGTATCAATATTACATATGTAAAATTAAAAAAACAAAATCCCGTTAAAAATAGACTTAAGAAAAAAACGATTTTTTGTTTAATTTTTTTTGTATGCAATATGGATATCATTGGAAAGATCATAAAGAGTTATTAAATCTGATATATTTTTTTGTGAAAAAATAGATTAGAAATTTAAAAGTTATAATAAATTTAAGAAAAAAAAGAAATGTATTGCCAAATGGCATGCATTAAAGGGTGAGGGTGATGTTCACCCTCTTTAGTGGGGTGAACAAAATCGGACTCCAATATATATGTATACGACAAGCTTTCACTTTGCTTAGATTTGTCTAAACTTTTGATTACCTATTAACGAAGCATCTTGTGACTTGTGTTATCCAAAATTACCAAAACAAAAATCCCTAATGACTTGCTCCGTACAACTTTTTAGTAATATGTAGTACTAGTATATACTTACTATATTCCATATTATTATACGTACGTATCAAAGATTCAATCCAATTCAAGCTTTGATTTAGCCAGGATTTGTCTTACAGAGTATGAAGTATTTGGTAGTTGGTAAGTTGATAGTACCTCCATCCCGAAAAGGTTCGCCATATAGACCCTCCTTGGTTAATGATGATGAACTTTGAACAATGATATTAATTATTATATTTGTATAGAATTTATAAATTTTATACTTTTATGAAAATATTTTGAATAAAGAACATTTTGATATAATTTTCATAATCTAAAAATATTTCTATTAAAAAATATCGTTAGTCAAAGTTGATTACTATTGACCAAGAAAAGTCAGTTTGATGAACCTTTTCGGGAGAGGAGTATTATATTTGCAAATCAATATCAGATGAATGAATAAATAGATAAATTTGCGGAAATAAATACATCAATTTGCGATAATTAACCTAATGTGATGTAAATGTCGATATAATTATTGTTGTTATTTTACGTTTAATGATACCGATATTTTCATGGATATCATGATTGATAACAATAATTTCTTTAATTTGATTGTCAAAAGATAATCATGAGTTATTTAATGATTTTTAAAATTAGTAAGAAAAAGAAGTTTCTTTGTTTTGTATCAGTAGCCGAGATCAACAACCTCTGAAAATGTCGAAGAGTAAGGCGGCAGGAAGCAGCGGGCAGGTATTACAATTGCTATATTATTTATGTGATTATTTATTAGTATTATGATTAAAAATTTATTAATGAAAGTATTTGATACCTAATCTTTCGTGATTTACATGTGTTTAATGTTTATTTTACACTTCATTTATAATATGAAAATAATTTATATATAAATATTGGTTATCGCCTCATGTGCATGAGATTAAATATAAGTCTTAAAAATAAAGCTATGCAAGACCAAATAAAAAATAATTTGTCAATTAAAAATATAAATCATGCGACTCATAAATGTATTAAGCGTCGCACACAATTTTTAAAAAATAATTTACGGATAATAGACGATGTGGACAATGCTTTATTATTATTATTATTATTATTGTTGTTGTTGTTGTTGTTGTTATTGTTGTTGTTATTATTATTGTTATTATTATTGTTATTATTATTATTATTATTATTATTATTATTATTATTATTATTATTATAAGAGATGCACACAAATTAGTTACATTGCGGCTAATATGATGCAGCAATTTAACATTTTTCCACCTGTGTGGTAGTATTATCTTGTCGTCCATGTCATTGTCTTTGTGCACCTATAAAAAATGTTGGGAGAAATATTTCTTATTTGGGTACGTTGATAAACAAGCTACAATTCATGTATAAATTTTATCTCTTGTTTCTTTGTTTGTTTATATATCTTTTCGCTTGGACAAATTTTGTTTCCAGGATGAACCTCAGCGCATGGTTGCTTTCAATTGGAACGCTAAAATAAAAAGCAAGATAGTGAAGCAAGAAGAAGGTACATATGATTTGTTTTTCATATTTTTCTTGATCAAAATGAAACATGTTAATCGTTTGGGACCTATTCAAACACTATTTACCGAAATTAGAGGATGGGTTTTGTTAAAAAGAAGAAGAAAATAGTGGGTTCATGTTGGGCCGGGTTATAGATTTTAGGACCCATTAATGAACCCGAAATTTGGGTTTGGTCTTGTTGGGAAATTGGATCTAGGCCCAATATCCCAGGCCCAAAATATGGAGATACCAGAGGAAACGGAAGGTCCAAAACGGTCCAGACCCGTTCGGCGTTCGACATATTGCTTATACTTGGAGCATTTCGGAGAACAACTGCACCTACATCCATGACAGGGTACCACACACCGATCGGCGTTCGGGAGATTGGCCCTCAGGATAACAATAGCGGATTAGCGGGGTATCCCAATATCGAACATCCTACCCGAACGGGCAGCCACAAGTGGATGCTGCATTTAATGCTCAAGTATGGTGGTAGCAAGTGGAAGCATGGGTTCCTACGTGGCAGGGGGAACAACCTACCGAATTCAACCACGTGTCCAGCTTTCTCATCCGCATTTTACTATAAATACCTGTATTAAGATCATTGTAAGGGGTTAGCAATTTAATACTCAGAGCTTAGCAAATAGAAATACGTCTCTTATCCTTGTATTCTTGCACTTACCTACCGTTCGGGTAATTTCTCTGTAATCACAGAATTACTGAATACAATTAAGCTGCTGAGTTGAAGAATATCACACTGCCTTATATTTTTATACACTTTCGAAACCAACCCAATATCCCTACAATATCCAAAGCTTGTGTTGGGCTTTCGGATCTTCGGGAATAAACCTCAACATTGGCGCCGTCTGTGGGAACGGTCAGGTGAAGAACATGAACAGGACCATCATGGATGGTATAAAAAAGAAACTAGAAGATTACACCTCCACTTGGCCCGAACAGTTAAATTACATCCTGTGGACCTACAGGACAACACCCCGAACGACAACGGGAGAAACACCATTCGCCCTCGCCTACGGGTTCCAGGCGAAAGTGCCAACTGAAGTTATGATTCCCACTCACCGAACGATACATTATGATCCCGAACGAAATGAGGACAACTTGCGTGCGGAGCTCCACTTCATAGAAGAAAGAAGGGACCTTGCGGCCCTGCGGATGGAGGAATACCACCGAGCTACCACAAGATACTTTGACAAACAAGTCAAAATCCGTTCAATCCAAGTGGGAGATCTTGTATTGAGGAAAAGGGAAAAGAGCAAATCACTGGAAGGTGGAAAGATGTCTCAGAATTGGGAAGGACCCTATAGAGTGGAAAAGAAATATGCTAAAGGAACATTCCGCCTTTAGGATACCGAAGGCCGATCAGCAGGGATATGGAACGTTGAACATCTACGGATATTTTATCAATAAAAACGGCTGTTGCCACCTCTTGAAAAAAAAACAGATGTACGTAAGATACATAGAGGGAGAAATTTACTTCCAAATACAAATACAAAGCCGGAAATTGGATAACCAGGTCATGAAGGTCGAACGGCACTATCACAACCATGGCCAGAAGCCTCACCTCGATCAAGCTCTGTTGGCAAATATTATGAATTACCGAATGAAAACCGGCAGCCTGATCTAAAGGGAGCCTCCATTTCAGCTTGGACTTGGCCTCGTGCTCCGGATGACCGAGCAGGGGATCCGAGCCGATTCAGAAAATGGTGTGAAAACAAAAAAAAAATGGTGTAAGAACCTCGAGTAAAACGAACCGAACAACACTCGATAATTCGGATGACTGGCGGGTAGTCAGGACTCTGGTTTTTCTAAATCTCACCTCAGTCTATAGCTTTGACGAACCACGACGAAGGGAAATCGTTGTGGTGGAACCTTAGCTGTAACTTGGAAGTGAGTCTCCCTTCTTTGCTTGAAATACGAGAGATATACCGAACAGGGGATCTCGTATTTAGCTTAAGGAATGGACATCTCAACCCTTAATATGGAGGTCCCGGAACGGCAGAACCGAACGGGTATCTCGGAATTATGGGATTGGAAGATGGGTAAATCTTACCTCAGTCTATAGCTTTGACGAACCACGACGAAGGGAAATCGTTGTGGTGGAACCTTAGCTGTAACTTGGAAGTGAGTCTCCCTTCTTTGCTTGAAATACGAGAAATATACCGAACAGGTGATCTCGTATTTAGCTTAAGGAATGGACATCTCAAACCTCTAATATGGATGATCCCGAACGGGTAAATCGGAATTATGGGTTTGGCAGATGACAGACATTATCCGAGTAAAAATTAAAGCTTGGATAGTGCTCTGAACGGTCGGGGAACTAATCTCGAACAGCAAGGCATCTGCCTTCTTCAAAAGATGGTGACTGCACAAAGATCCTGAACAGGGAAAGGAAGATCGGAAACTAATCTCGAGGTTACATAGGAGGATTATTCTTCAAAACTACCAACCAAGGGAAGCAAAGCAATAAAAGGACGAACGGGATAAAGGGTGTTTATTCTACAGCATTACTGACCGAGAATTAAGCATGAAGGAACAATAAAATATAAGGAAAATATTAGCTCAGAAAACAATCAGAACAATATGAGGAAACATGTATCTTTATTCTTCGGCACTACTGGCCGGGAAAATACGGAATAAGGAAAGAATATTGATAAAGAATTGTTCACAAAACAAAAGAATACTACGCTACAGGCGGATCGTCGCTCGGGGATGCAACATGCTCAGAGGAGGACTGTTCAGGCTCCTCCTGGTCTGCCTGCCTTTTGGCCATCACACGCTTGTAAGCGCGGCAGAAAAGCTCAACAAACTTGGCCTCTTTGGGATTGAAGGGCTTGGGAAAATACTCCATGATCACATCAAGGTTTCGGTCGACCAGCATATCTTGACACTTGATCAGGGTATCTCTGGCAAAGGCATTAGCAAAGGCAGCCCCGGACGGGGTTTCATCCAGAAGCTTGAGGCCATCATGAAGGGGATCCTTGCTCTTCTTCAGGAACTCCCCCAGATGCTTCCCAAGGAACTCCCGAGCAGTCTCCTCTAAAGCAACGTTCAATCCTTTGCCTTGTTGAAAATTAATTACAGCCTGCTGAGTGATTCTAGAAATATCCGCCTGAACGGGCGCTGCCGGCTGTTCGCCTTCTTTAGGCTGAGCCTTTTTGAATTTAACACCGACAGCTTCAGCGGCAGCAATCTTGTCCTTCAACGCCCGTATCTCCCGATCGCGACGTTGAAGCCTCTTCTGTATCTCGGTCAATTCGGCCCTGGCCTTGTCCCCTTTGTTGGCCCGATCTTGAAGATCCGCAGCCATCTTCCGGGCAGCATCCGGTAGGGTCTTGCTCTCATCAAGCTCCTGAGCTAGATGCGCCATTTCCCGCTCAGCAGCCAGGAAATCCCGGTGATAATAAGTACCAGCCTAAGGAAGAAAGAGATAACAATAAGGATCAAGAAATATTAAACATAAGGAAAACTCGAACAGTCGAAGTTGTACCTTAAGGGTCTCTGCATGGCCTGCTTCAAAGAGGTACTGCACCAGATGGATGATGCAGTTTGCCCGAACAACGTCCGACATTCAGCTCGGGGACCCATAACGGAGAATTCCACCGTCATCCGATCAGGAATCGGGGGATTATCGCGAACAGACTCCCCCTTCTTACCCAGCGAGGAGCCCAGCTGCTTGAGGAGAGGAGAGGTGGCATGCATTGTTTCCAGATTAGGATCAGTCAAATCGATGACCTGATCGATCGGTACCAACTGACCGGAGGGCTCGATCCGCGGGCGCTTGTTCACTGGCCCGGACTCCTGACCGGAGAAAGAACTTGGCCGAGTATCCCTCCCCTTCCCCTTGTCGGTCAAAGTAGTGGATGAGGGAGTGGGGACAGGACGCTTTGTGGAAACGGGTGGGATCACACCTGCAGAAAAGAACGAAACAAAATAAGAAAAACATTGATAAAATATACCGAACGGTTGAAGATAAAGAAAAAACGTACCAATGCCAGCGGCCAGCATTTTGGAAGGGGTCAGGAATGATCGGAGGTTCTTGGGGCCCGCCCTGTAGAACCGATCATACTGACAAAGGAGGACAACATCCAACACAGGAGCCCTATCCTGAGCAGGGTAGGTGTTCCACCGATCGGGAAATGGAAGTGGTGACCCCACATGAACGAACAGGAAACGCTCTTCCCACTTCTCAGGTGGGGTGGGATTGTCGGTAAAAAGGGCCCGACCAGGACGAGCAACCAGCCGTAGATATCCAGTGGTCCAATAAGGCTGGACGCTGTAGCAGTACAAGAACAAGTCAACATTGGGGGCAATTCCCAGATCGTGGCACCACACGATGAATCCGTTCAGGATCCTGTAAGTGCTGGGCACGAACTGTGCCGGCAGAACTGATACCCGGCGGAGGAACTCCATTATGAATGAATGCAGGGGAAACCGGAGACCGGCGATCAGAGCATCCATATGAACCAACACACATCCCGAACGATGCCTCATGGGGTGTTTGATGAACCCCGCATTAAATTGACGGGGTGGAGGTAGCAGCTGGCGGAGCGTCTGTTCAGCATCCGCAGGGAGGCGTTGACGCTGCTTCCTGATGCAGTGAAAGTTCAAACTATAACAGGGAGGGCGTTCGGGCATACCCCTATTATAAATGGTCAAATCATCTCCCGATTGGCACCCATCATCGGGGAGGGGCTGTTCGGGACGAGGTGATCCGGATGATTCATTCGAACCCGATGATCGGACCGACGTTCCTTGGTCTTTAGGATGATCCTTTCCCCTAGGGCGACGAATTAAAGAAGGCACCATATCCTCAGAATTTGATGAACCTGAAAAATCGGACATAAGTCGGGAATGAAAAATTCTAGAGAGAGAGAGCTTGAGAGAATTAAGAAGCAGCAGAAAGTTTTATGGGAAGCAGTTGCATCTTTATATAGGGAGGTGCTGCCACCCACAATCCGAATCATTGACGGACACGTGTAAAAAACCGTTGACGGAATTTAGTTCTATTTTTGGAAAGTGAAAAAAGGTCCCTTTTTGTCCACATGTCTTTTTTTAGTATTATTTTAGACATAACCCCATATACATATCTACATTTACTAAGGATACCAAATTATTTCTAAATAATGAACTTTTACATTACTTTACCTACGTGCATCATTTCCGAATTTCTTATCTAATACAATTATTTACCAAATTTACTTTTCTCATTAATTTCCAATTTTGCCCATATTTTGGGCGGCATTTTTCCCTCCAATTCTTGCCCCAACTTTATTACTTTATTATATTATATAAAGATAAAGATGTGCATTAATGTTAGGATAATCTTTCAAAATTCATACTTATCAAATATATCATACCATACATATGCTTTGAAAATTTTGTTTGAACGTTTAGTATTGCTAATACTAAATGTTTTTCTCGAACATTCAAGCAAAATAACATCCTTAGCAATGACTGAATTAACATTGTCGAACATTTTTGTTAATTTAATTGCTTATACACATTTTAAATGCAATTAGATATTTGCTGGGCAATTGCCCTAGCACATTCACTTGAGGGAACGTTCAACTCTGGAGATCAAGAAGTCGAGCTCTCTTTTGACGACATTGTTTACCAATTATATGGTGATAAAGACACACATAAGAAGGCACGTGACAGCAGTGATAGGAAGCTGGCCACACGGATAAACAAAGCTTACAAGAATGTACAAGTGAAAGGAATAGCTCAAAGGCGATATTGTCCGTACACGGTTGAGAACAGATCTAGTCGCAAAGAAGTGAAAAGACTTGCGAATGAAAGACACAAGGTAAGTTCTAGAATAAATTTCATTTAACTTGGAGATAGTCCAATAATCCTATCTTCTCTAACTACTGTTACATGAACTTGGTCATAAAGGAATAATAGTACAAATGAATTAATTAATACTACGTCATCCAATCCAAAAATGATTTGCAAAGTCAACATTTTTTATCAAACAATTTCACTCTGTTCACTTAATTAGCATAACAATTTTTAATTATATTTTTGTTTATATTTTGCAACTTTGTATAGAATTTAATGTTGTTTATCAATATTTCAATTTTAATTATTAAAAATTGAATTATTTATTAATAGGGAGGAGTCTACCTTAGCATTGGTTGAAAACAACATATAGACTATTCAAATCAATATGGGAAGAAGGGAGTATATAAATAAATTCCCAAATTGTAAAATTAAATTCATAATTAATTCTCATAAATATAAAATTAAATACTAAAATATTTCCTCAAACATTAAATATTAAAGATTATACTACATGTACACCTTTTTTTTTTTGGTGATACATGTACACCTTATTGTATATTACGATTTGTCAACCACAATAAACCCGATGATTTATTAACATTCCAATTGTTTTTTTCAGTATGACTGTTTATTCATTGCCAAGTTTGAAAGTAAAGAAAAGGTGAATGAGAAAACCCTTCTGAGTGATTTACAACACCAACCAATAGTGGGTGTATTAGACTCAACACCAAATTTCGAGAAGTTCAGGGTAAATCTTATTTATTATCTTAAAATTGTTCATGTAAATATTATATTATTTATATATATTCTTAAAAAAATTCTTAATTAATTTATATTAAATATAGGGGAAAGGAATATACACTGTAGAAGTTCCTAGAGAAGAAAAGGAGCAAAACCTTCACTGTGTGGTGATCGTAGACTGGGGGGAAGAGCATGGAAAGAAGTTTTGGGTGGTTCGAAATTCGTACGGCGAAAACTGGGGTGATAAGGGGATTGGAAAGCTACAGATGGGTCCTACACACTGTTCGTCAATTTTTCTAGAGTACTATTACGCGACAAAGGAGGTAATGTAATAAGCATATTTTTTTCCAAAGGAGTAGACACAAATATTTCTGACAGGTATACCCAAAATGATGTTCTCGGTCAAAAATTTTTCTTTTTAACTGCCCTGATTAACAAAAACCTGGACCTAACCCAAACATCCGGGCTCATAAACGGGCTCTAAATCTATAACTCGGCCTGAACTGACTTAAACCTGAAACAATTAAATTTAATATACAATCAACATAATATATGAATCTAATTTATAAATAAGTCCTAATATGTGATTATAATCATGGTGGATGAAAAATGACTTAGCAACTTTTAGTGACTACAAATATGTTCAATTTTGTATACCATAATGATCATGAAAATATATTTATAGTATCTTTAGTCACATTTTTATCCATAAATTTTACTCCGTATCTTGTAATATTTTTAGAAAACCTGTATTAGTTATATGCATATTAAATAAAATATTAAGATAATTATCTTATTTGGATTTGAATTATTGGTGATTTTGGAGACTAATATTTGTGTTACTATTTGTGGTTTGTATTTTTGATTAGTTTTATTTGAAAATAGATTTTAACATATAAAGAAGAAATAGATGATTTCACGCTCGGATTTTAACGGGCTCAACCCGGACCGAACCCGGGCTACCAAAAACCCGTCTCGGACCGAATATAGTGTGGGCTTTGTTCCGGTATTTAATTTTAATAACCTGAAACCTTATAGGTAATTTACAGATTTAACAAAAACCTGACCCAGATCGATCCCACCCCTAAATAATATTGAGTCCCTAAACAACCAAATACAATAGTACTAAGTAATATTTACTTATGAGATACTTACGTTAGAATATGAGAAAGTGTGCAGTTATTAAGAAAAATGAGTTTATGTGGTTGATATTGAATTGGTAAAGTTTGGATAAAGTAAGTATGATTTAGAATCACATAAACTATATCAAAAAAAATTATAGAACCCAATATGACTCTACTATGGAATCATATAACCCATGTGACCTCATAACAATCATCATTTTTATAGTGAACTTATAGTGGACCCTACTACATAAATGAATGATTTTTATACTGTCACGTGTGCTATATGACTTTATAGTGAACATATATCAAATGTTTTCACTTCTTTTTTTGAACGTCCCACGTAAAGGTTTTAATTTCCATTTTATGAAACAATTAAATGGCAATTTAATCATAAAACATTTTAAGAAAATACATTTATAACATCACATTTATCACCAGTAACCGATTATAATGTATACCCATCAAAACTATTTCTCAAAATATAATCGAATTAGCATATTTAATTATTGTCTAAATAAGTTTGTCATTTTGAGATGAGAACCTTTGAACTAGACGAAGGTAGTATTAATGTACTTATTAGTTACTATGCATATACATTTTAGGTAACACAATCATGGTCACAATCATAATCACCAAAGTTACTCAAAGATACTAAATTAGTTTCTCTTATAATAGTAGTTACTAAAGTATAAAAAAACATATTTTGTTCACTCTTATTAATTTGGTTCATATATTTGTCATAATTTTATATTTTTCATCAACGTAACTCTAGTTCTAGACTACTGAGTACTTTTTAAGTAATTCAATTAATTAAATGAAAAATTGCATGTATATATGTTTTTTAAAATGGGGGCCCTGAAAATTTGGAGACCTTAGAAAAATATCTAGGCTACCACCCTCATGACCGGATCTGGTTTCTAGTGGCATGTTTTTGTTGAAATTTTGTGTGCATAATCAGAGTTTTTTGTATCCACGAAATGTAGATTATGTCTAACAAATATCAACAAAAAAATCAATTGGAAAGATAGTCAAATAAATTTTTGAAAATAACTGTGTTTTAAACGTATATTTTAGCGCAGATATCTTCAAAAAATTATTTGTCTGCTTTCCTTATTACGGAGTACATTTCTTGTTGGAATTAGGTGGACATAATTTACACTTCATGGGAAATATGCACACAAATGGTCAACAAAAATATCACCGGGAACCACCCCAAAACGAGGTGGATTTCCTAACAAAATGACTATGATCAGATATACCTGACTGGGCGATTACTTGTATTATATAATTATTCGTATTAACTTATTGGATTTCCTTTACAAAAAAACTTATTGGATTTCCTATTTCTGCAGAGTTGCTCTCTAGCGAAGCCAGACAGGGAATAGTTATGCAGAATGACCCTATTATGGAGCGGATGAATTTAACATTAAGCCGGTAGTGATATATACTCTAATTTTTAGGAACTAAATTAAAATTTCCTTCAAAACATGACCTATTGTGAGGGCACCTTAAATTTTCTTTAATGCATTTGATTTTGTTAATATCGATCTACAAGGCTACAAAGACATGCATGCTTATAATTGTTGGCACTTCATGGAACTACTTTGCCAAAAAACATTATTTGAGTTTTGTAAAAGCTAGTACAGTACATGTGCATACGCACGAGAATAATCCACGAATATGTTTGTAATCATGATCTAATTAATCACAAAAGAGACTAATTTTGAAAAATTAGCATTGTTCTTAAAAGCGAGTAAAATAAGTCAATATCATAAAGTGTAAAGTGTAAGTTAATAAAATAAATATTAAACGTAATATATTAAACACATGTATTAGAGATTTTGGAAAACCTCTTTGATTTTCCTTCATTATCATGTATTAAAATCTTCAATCCAGTATAGTACACAAGCATCCGCACGGGGTGATCGGTGTTTTTTAAATTCTCATTTTTTTATAAAGTAGTGTTGTTGAATTTAAGTCCCGTAGATTCGAAGGTCCAACACCAACCTTAGGATATTTAAGGATGATTTACGGTAAAACGATTAGGGAAAGAGATTTAACTAAAAATGCACTCAAAAGCGTACTTGTATTGAGTTAATAACAAGATTACACAGAAATGATTGAACGACACTTTGGTATAGCTGCTAATACAAGAACTGGAGAGATAACCTAAGGCTCATGAGTATCAAGATGCTAACCCCTTCCAATGAAGTAAATGCCTCTATTTATGCTAGGAGGGGGTAGGTGGAGATGATGTGGCCGAATCCTATTGGACGCCTCCTTTGTCACGTGAACACCCATGCCTCCACTTGTCACTGTCATACTGTAGCATTTAATGCAGCTTGCCATTTGCACGCTTCTCGAGCGGCCCCTATGCTTCATTATGTTAGAGGGCAGAGATAATGTCGACATTTGTTCCAAGTATGGTATATCTGTCGTTCGGGATGTGTCGGGCAGCATCTCTGTTGACTGCCTATCCCCATTCGGGGTCTTGTAAGGATGGGTCGGGTTCCCGTTGGGCTTGCTCTTTTAATTGGGCCCTCAAGCTACCTTGGATCGGGTATTGTTCCGAACCCCAATATCCCAACACAAGTCCCCTCACTTCCGATGTCTCAAACGGGGTGAGGGCATAAGGAAGTAGAAAGATTAACTTGATGTCGATCTGGATGTTTTCAAAAGGGTTCTTGCTGTTTCCCGATGCACAGATTTTGACGGTTTTTTACGGCTGTTGGTTGGGTTCCCTAGAAACGCAATGATTACTCGCCATTTTACCTTCAAACGACATGTGCCCCAGAAACCGCTCCTCGTGACATGTATTTTCCTCATTGGATGGTGAAACGACGTTGTTAGCCTATAAATCAGGCTCTTGCGCCTCCGGTTCTGGGTTTCTAATTTTTTGCCGCTTCAGTCCATTGTTATGCCTTTCTTCTAAACCCTACCCCGACACTTGTTAAGTTATTTTCCCGACCTCTTTCTGCTTCCTTCTTCTTTCAATTCTTCGTTTGGCCGACATGTCTGAAACCCCTGGATCCTCTGGTTCTCCTTCTGCCTCTGGTTCGGACCCCACAGTTAATGAGGCGGTCCACGGTGCTGCAGCTGACGTAACCACTGACACTGCAGCTGGTACCAGCACCGCCGCCAAAAACACGGGTGGCGATTCTTCTTGTGGCAGCGATTCTGATGATGCCAAATCCGGCGACGACGTGGATTTTGTGGCGGCTGGTCCCCCGGATGACATACCTCGTCATAAACCGAACTTAGACCTAATTAGGAGGAGGCAGCAAAAACTCACCTCCCACAAATGGCCCAAATTCCACTTTTAATCTGAGACCAGTGGACTTCCGCCTCCAGGATGGGCTTTACCTGATACGCCACCGCCAGGAATGGTGGTGGTTCACTTTGGTTCTATAAAAGTTAGGTTAAATTCCCGTTGCACCCCTTCTTTGTTACATTCCTAAGCCATTACAAAATTGTTCCGGTCCAAATTATGCGAACTCCTACCGGGTGATGGCTGGGTTCATCTGCCGCTGCATTGATGCTGGCGTGCCGCCCAGTTTGGACTTGTTCCATTATTTTTTCAAGGTTGCCTCCCAACCGACCCACAATTGTTGTGCCGCTACTGCCCGAGCGGGCCAGATTGTGTTCACAGGAAATTTTACTTCGATCAAGGGATGGAAAGACCGGTTCTTCTTCGTTTCTGTCCCGCGCGACCTATTATCAAAAAGGTGGAATGTCTTCCCACCAGAATTTCCAGAGCTATTCATTTCTGAGGAGCTTGGGAGTAGATCGTCTGCAGCTAATCCCTTCAACACCTAATCCCGATG